AGTTGATCACCCTCTCCATCTGTCTGCCTCGCAATCACAAATGTATCGTGCACGTGTCTCACAACTGGAGGATACGAAACACCAATTCTCTCGCCAATTCTGGTCTCGCATTGGGAATGGGGGGAGAGGCGAGGGAGGTGAGAGAAACGTCTGGACGACACCTCACTTCCCAGTCCATCACACACACACACACACACACACATGTATATTTGCGCAGAGAGAATGATCGCCGGGGTGCAGCGTGATGCCGCAGAGGGGCACAAGTGATGGCGTGTCCTTGTCACACCTCCCATCTGTCAATCAATCAGTCAGCCTATCAGCCTGCCAGTCCACCCGTAAACAACTAACAACACACCACCTCATAGCCATGCAAATGCAGTGCAGAAGAGACCCTCTGCATAACTCACTGCACAACCTCTTTCAGTAAAGCAACACGGTAATGCAAATCGTCCTCCTCACCTCCTCCTCCAAGCAATCAGAGCCCTACGTACAAAGGAAATTGTGGGAGAGCACAACATACACCACTCAACTCACGCACCGACACACCACCTCCCCACCCTCCACATACTACCAGCAACACGCATCTGCGAAGGTGAACTGCAGACTGTACAATGGAGATTGCACACCACTTGTGATTGTCGAGCGGAGGGCACACCGAGGGCACTGATCACGAGCAGCTGCCACATTCTTCACCCGTCACACTGCCACGCTCAAACGGTGCAACGCACCATCACCGAAGTGAATTAACGACCGACCAAAGGAATCCGCCTCCCCCACTCCCACCCTCCCCCTCCTCTCTTCCACCCACATTCCAGGCTTCAGCATTAGGCACTTACTCAGGACAATCTCTCAACCCACCTACACACCTCTAACTTGTGCATGGTTCAAAGGCAACGGGGAGAGCAGTAAGGAGGAAGGGACAGTGGAGTGTCTCCTCGCACACTACTTATTGCAATGTTGACAACCGCAAAGGTGAACACGTTGAGCGGTATTGCACCAAAGTAAAGTAGTGTAAGTTGACTCAAATCATGGGAGGAAGTGAAGAAGAGACACTGCATTTTTTGGTATTAATGAAAGAAGGAGAATAATGAATCAAGGACAGGACAAAAAAATAATTACTGAGCAGCTTTTCTTTTTTAAAACGACCAAATATATTTCGACACTGTCCTTTTACCAGTCGTCGTTTCTCTACCTGAGTAAAGCATTCTTGGCGTAGTGTTGACATCAGCTTCTCTACTAAGCTTCCTCTCACCGATCAAGAAGAAGAGAGGAAATTGAAAATGGCAAAAGAGAACAAAAGGAATAAAGAGTTTTAGTAGAAATCATTGCTACACTGTTTGAAACAGGTTGGAAGCGATACATTGAGTAGGACAAAGCATTCCTACTTCACTCACGAGAAATGATTAAAGTGGTTAGAAAAGCGAGTTTATTTACCTTTGAGAGTTTGGGAATTTCCCTGCCTTTCATTGTACTGCTACAATGCAAACAAGACAGGTTTGTTGAGCAATGCAGCTTGTCACTGACCAAATAGTCACTCAATGAGAGATCCGACCTCTGGTTTCATGCAGATGGTCCGCCTCTACATTAAATTATTTTAATGACTCTCTTGAGAGATGAGGTGTTGCCATTATGTCAAAGGCAAAAGAGACGAAGGCTCAAAAAAGAAGCAAAGACTGAGGTTAGTAAGACATTGGGGATAAGAATGGGGAAGCCTTTTATTGATGACGAATGAAGCATATTTAGCAAAAGAGGAGATGATAGAAAACCTTCAAACATTCTACAGGAGAGGGTCTCGAAGCCTTAATGCGGTATCGCTACTTCGTTTGATCTGAAAGAAACGAGTTTTGTCATGAAAGTCGTTGGTGCTCGCGCTCTATCGGTGTTACTTGTTTCTTTATAAAACCAAGTCCTCTTAAATACTTTTTGAAGCTATCTGATGCCTTTACCTAATAAGAATCCAATCCGCAGTTCCCGCCTCTACCTTTGGAAGTGGAGTCACTTTTGGGTACCCAAATGGGCTCAGAAGAAGCCGCCGTTAAGGTTATCCAACAAACTTGACGTGATGTGATATCATCCTACTTTTCTGATTCCAAAATTGTCTGTGAGCTAATCCGAACGTTTTGCAAGTCCCCGTCTCCGATCTTGCAAAAAATGGGGAAAGATTGTTTGATGAGTGGATGAATGAGTTGATGTAAACCTCAAAAGAGATTCATATCACTGATCTCTTTGACAACCGAGTAAAACCGCGTTTAGTCCTTTGATAAGTTGTCCCGGTTAATAAGTTGTGAGAGACCGCATGGCCAACATTTTTTTAAACACCAACAACGTAGTTGATGTTAAACATACCACTCACCGCTACTCTTCGTTACTATAAACGCCAAACCGTGTCAGTGTTTACGAGGAGGTACATTCAGTCATCAAATTTGGCTGTTCCAATGTCAGAAAATTAAAACGTGTTGACAGTGCAACATCATTTAGCCAATTCTCAATTATACCTTCATCCTATAACCTTATTTCTCCCTTATTTCCCCCTCCTTTTAAGTCAGACGATTAGATTGACAGCGTCGTAGAAAAGATACGTTTCCAGAAACTAAACTAACTATTACATCCCAAGGAAGGCATCACGTCAATGCTGACCCCGCGCACCCACACACAGGCACCCAAAATGAGTAAGAAAAATTAAATGGTTGCAGGGTTTACGCCCAACAGAAGCAATGCACACCATCACAATGGCGGCCGCTGCTTTCCTGCACATCCTAGCCACTTTGCGTTATGAATCCGAAGGAGAGGAGGAAAGAACATATACTGAGTGGAGAAAAAAGAACATCCACCACCGACGGAAATATGTGGGATTGGGGTGAGGGATGATGAGGGTGGACGAAATGAGGGAGACGGCGACGACCAAACAACAATGGAGAATGTGCAAACCCAAATTTAGCTCTCCTAGATGTGAAAGCACAGAAATGTGCAATGCATAAAACTGAAGTCGCCGTGATGCCAACTTGTCGTTGATGAGAAAGAGAAAGGATTCCCAGGCTACCTAGTTCACGTGTGTGTTTGTGTGGTGTGAGCGCAAGTTAGCAGACGATCAACGTTGAACCCAACAGATTCCTCAAATTTCAGTGACTATTGAGAGGCACTAATCAATTGACGGACTGGGGCGTTACAGATAGCAGCACAAAAGGATAGAGTGTGGGTGGCGAATTGTGATGGAAAGGGTGAATGATGAAAACGGCCACTGGCTTTCTGGAACGGCTACATTTGAAACCGCCAAATGCAAAAGAAGAGAATAAAACAAAATGACGTCGTCTGTGGATAATACAATGCCTTTGACACCATATTAAGGCGAAGAATTCTGAGGAAACCGGAAGACATGTTGCGTAACTCCTCGCGTGCCTGATTCCGACGTCAGGACCGTGCAACTGACCGAATGTACCAGGAGTGAAGCGTCTGCAGATAGATGAGTTCGTCCTAACAAAAAGGATACCTAAGATCTTCATAAGATTGTTCGACTTTTTGAATGAAAATACTTGACGAACTACATGCCTTTGAACCCAATATTTATCGGCAACTCAATAGAAATTTGTTAAGAGTATTTTATCCCAAAATAGATCGGAACAAAGGGACAGAAACCGAGGAAAAAATTGCTCAGCAGAAGAAAATGAAGTTAGAATGGAAGAAAAGTGTAGGTTAACAAAACCAACTCAGCCACTGAAGCCAAGAAGTAAGCAAACGTGGAGAAAAAAACAATCGAAATGGAAATAGACACAGAAAGGTAGCGAAACAGGCATCATGCTCCGCTGCCAATAGGGTCTACATGAAAAAAAAAAATCAAAAACCTAATGTCTAAACAAAACAATGGGTACCAAACTTCTAAAATTAAGTGCCCTACTAATGTTTAGCTTAACTCCCAATGTCTAACCATTTTTAGAAGGAGTAATAAGACCATCAAGGTAACAGCCAATCCATTCCGATCAAAGTAAGACAGAATTTTGAAAAAAATCAAAACACCTTCACCCATTACATCAAAAAGAGGAGTAGCAGATTCAATCGCGAATGAAATTGCACAGTTGTGGGACACAAGTGTGTACATGAGAGAGGTGACTTCACCAACACTCAAGAGGGTGTATTGACGCAACAATCTAAGGTACCTACGCTTGTAAACATTGACATCACATAAGTGGGCATCAAACAGTCAACAACAGTGTGTGTATGTACAGGACAGCAAACAACAGCAACAACAACAGCACCATCAGCAGCAGCAACGACAACAAGAAGAGAAATAAGAAGAGGAAGAAAAAGAAAAAGAAGAGGAGAGGAGAGGAGGACGAAAAAAAGGTGGAAAGAAAGAGGAATAGTGGTTTGCTTGTGCGTGCAGTCGTTGGTGAGAAAAGTAGTGCAGCAGAAGTGCGCCACTTGTCTGTGTGTGCAGTAGACGAAGTGGTGACGTGGACTACTAGGAGGGCAAAAATGCAAGGCCGACAGTGGTGACGGCGGTTGCGGAATGGGAAGAGCCAGTGGAGGAGGCAGAGATGCAAGGAAGAAAAGTACGGTATCAAACGAATCTGAGGCAATGCGCCGACTGTCCACCAAGGTCGACGGCTACTAGGAAGGGCGAGGTATCGGGTAGGGCCGTCAGTCCAGCCAGTCGCCTCAGAGCTGGCTCCACTTCCAATGTGTAGGGCTGCCTTCTCGCCTGGCGCATCATACTCACGCCCAACTCCCCCGCCACCACTCCCAGATTCGGTTCTCCCTCACCTGTTGCAATCACTGATTCTCCGGTGGTGGTGAGGCGGGAAGAGGAGTCAGCAATAGCTCCACGCCATGCCGCCTCAGGGTAGACGATAATCACCGAACGTGATCGAGCGGTTCGACCGCACTTTGCACAGTGTCTTTTGGAGGATTTAAGAGGCTAGCTCAGTTGCTATCTCCTAGTCTGGGTGAAAGCTTTTCTTTCTTTCTTTCGCGTCTTCCTCTCCATATCCGCGACCACTAGCTCAACATTAAAAGTTTTGGGGACTCAAGTATAACTTTGCATTGTATCGGACGTTGGAACCAAAAAATTGGGGTTTTGTTAATATGTAACGTTCGGGAGTTTTCCAAACGTTCAATATATCTGATCAGACTAATTCTTATAAAGATGTGATTTAACTAATCGAAAAATAGTCAAAATGGACTTTATACTTACTTAAAGTGCACAAAATCAAACTATTTTTCTGGAACGAAGGAAGCAATGTTTACTCAAGCGAATGTTCTCTTAGCAGTTTAGATGAGAAAAGACCTCAACACAGCTCTCAGAGTAACAAAAAACACCTACGTAAAGCAACACTTGAGCTTATATATGAGGAAAATTGTGGAAAAGGATTGTGTTGCCCAAGACACGACAGATAGAAGCCCCTCCCTTCCAACTGACAATGCCACCTCATTCCTCCTCCTCCTCCTCCTCCTCCTACTCCTCTCCCTCATCCTCCTCCTCCTCCTCCTCCTCCACTTCCCCTCCATACCTCATTGGACTGCAAATCCAACAGCATCAACTCATTTGCCCGCCAGTTCACAACCCACAGTCCCCGTGCTCCTACAGCCATGCCAGTGGCAGCCTGACCACGAAGAGCCTCGTTGCCTGCCAACACTGACTTCACACGTCCCGTAGCTGCATCAGCAACCAAGAGACGACTGTTTCCTGTGTCCAGAAGGAGGACGTTGACACTGTCTTCCGGTGATGTTGGGGCTGTGGTGGTGGTGGTA